TCCTTCGAATGCTTGCGTCGAATTTGTTCCTCGTTAACGATCTGATGTCTTGTTTCACTGGAACGTGGTCTTCTCCTCACGATTTGACGTTGTGGAGAACTCTGAACGAGTTTAAAACTCTATGAAAGAGTTGATTTAACAGAAAGTCGGTTATAAGCCAAGGATGAAGAAGCTCTTGTTGCTGATCTTCAAAGCTCCAACCGAAGGATGAAGGATCCTCTTTTCGCTGCCAAGAAGTTCCAACAGACCGCTCCTGAACTGAATTGATTTTTAGTTATTTATAGGGGATTAAGGGGTGTAACCACCTCCTTAATTCGCTCCTAAGTGGGGCTAATGGGATGTAACCGCCCCTTAAATCACTCCTGAGTGGAGTTGTGATCCCCTCAGATCGTGAGAAACGGTTTTGAAACCGTTCAGCTCGTGTTTGAACGAGTCAAACGCAGGCCCTATATTTTGGAATGAAATCTGCGTTTGAACGCAGTGTTTGCGAGCTGCGTCTGGTGGTGGTTAGAGTTGCGTCTGGCAGCGAGTGAAGCTGCGTTTGGTAGCGGTATATAGTTGCGTCTGGCAGCGAGTGAAGCTGTGTTGGGCAGCGGTTGGAGCTGCGTTGAGCAACGGTATAGAGCTGCGTTGGGCAGCGGTATAAAGCTGCGTTGGGCAGCGGTATAGAGTTGCGTTGGGCAGCGCTTGGAGCTGCGTTGGGCAGCAGTATAGAGCTGCGTTGGGCAACGGTATAAAGCTGCGTTGGGCAGCGGTATAGAGCTGCGTTGGGCAGCACTTGAAGCTGCGTTGAGCAGTGGTTGGAGCTGTGTTGAGCTGCGGTATGAGCTGCGTTGAGCTGCGTTCGTGGCTATGAACACGATGCGTCTTGATGCTAGTGTGCGGGGAGGACTTCCACAGTTTGATTTGAAGAGACCGTCGATTTGTAGTCTCTTTCTGTCGAAGCGTTGCAAAGATTGTCATTTTGCAATCTTTGCTTTAGCTCTCTGATATATGAGAGTCGTCAGATTGTAACTCCCGATGTTGATTATGAAGGCTGTTTGATTAGAGCTTTTATCAGTTGTCGTGAAGGTCGTCAGATTGTAACCTTTAGCGATCTACGTGAAAGTCTTCAAATTATAACCTTCTGGAAGTCGTCAGATTGTAACTTCCATCATCGGTGTTTGATGGGGATCAGCTATCTATTGTGATTTTTAGACAGCCTACAATAATATGTTTTGATCATTTTATATCATAACTTAATTTTTGAGTAGAATCAGGAATTTTTATAAGGGATTTTCATGCAAAATTATTAGTAGTTTTGTATGCTTATGTAATTTCTTTTATCACATAAAATTATACTATAGTTATCATTAATATTTAGTTTTTGTCTTTTTATTACTTTAAGTCAATCAAATAACGTAAGTTGAGATTATCTAACCATTTTACATTCTTTTATTTATTAAGAAAATACAACCATCTAGACATGTTCACGTCTGTTTTTCAAAATTCGTGCTTTTGGAAATCATGAGTCCACCCTTGTGCAAGTTACTTTTGTTTGCATATATAAGGTTAATACCGATTTAAGTAGGATCTTATGTACACTTTCCCTCAGAGAAATGAAGGCTTTTTGATATTTTTCTTAATAGGACAATTTTAGGGTTTTCAGGGCAAAATAGTTCACTATCGTTTTGTGAAATTTACTATTTGTTAGTTATATATACTAGCTATTGCTTTAGATACTATTAGGTGTGAAATTTGCTATTTGTTAATTATACTGGCTATTGCTTTAGATACTGGTAAGTATTCAGTGTGATAACAAACTTTCAACTTAAATTCCTTGTATTTCTTAGGGTGTGATGTTTCTAATAACTTGGTAGTAAAGAGGTTTAAAAAATTTAAAAGTTTTGTTAGGTCTATTAATATTTTTATGATTACTATTGAGATTGTTTATCATAAAACATGAGCTTATAATGTTCTAATGTGTTGTGCAATTTTATTTTTAATGTAATAAGAAATGTGGTCTCTTTTTTACTAGAACATTAGTTCATAATGATATTGCTACTCATGCTTGACTCCATATTTTATCTTGAGATTAGTAGAGTTTGGAATATGACATAAAGTATCAATTTAACTTATTTTCTTTTACTATTCTACTTGAAGATATTATTATGTCATTTGATATTTTTTTTCTTAATAAATCAATTAATATGTCCCAATTAAGCTTATAATATCCAAAAATGTTGTGCAATTCTATTTTCAATGTAATAAAAATGTGATTTCTTTATTACTATAACTGTAGTTCATAATGACAATAACAATATCCCAGTTAGGTATATTCATCCGAGTTTAGCTTAAAAACACATTACATTAATTTTTAATAATATTTAAATAAAAATAATAGTAAATCTAATAATTCAATTTTATATATTTGAACTCAAGATGAATCTATCTTATTTATAGTAATGAAATAAAGATAAAAGAAAAATAATTTGATATTTAACCATAAAAGCTAGTACCCTAAAAAGCACTAGTTTGATAAGCGCTTAAGAGTCAGCCACGTATCAGCCGGATGAATCAAATCATGTGACCAAAAGACCCAACCTGGATATAGACACAGCCTGACCAGTTAAACCAACCCCTCCAATAATCCAAGTCTGAGTTGAAAGACATATTTAGGTCGGAATCCACCAGAGAAAGCCCGAGCCTGAGTCGAAAGGCGTTTTTACGTCAAACTCCACTAGAGAGTATTAGTCCTAAGACAAGAAAATGAATGTCTGGTAGCCTCACTGCTCCATTAAAAGCGTGATCAGGTGTTATGATGACTCCTCTGATGACGCCATACTCCGCCACCTAGTCGCCATTGCATTAAACCCATGGCCAGACGTTATAATGACTCCTTGCGCGACGCTCATATTATGCCACCATGTCGCTATCACATTAAATGCGATAAGAACAGCTCCTCAGGTTGGCGCTACTAATTGTCGACACGCGTAAAGCGGATGTAAAATGTCAATTTTGCCGGTCGCGTTGGATTACCAATTTACCATCACACTCTTCTATAAATAGATGCTACTTCCACCGTTCTAAGGTCTGAACTATCTAAATCCTACACTAGATTCTGTATTTCTCTTTATATTGCTTTTATTAGTCGTTGACTTGAAGTTAGAGGGCACGCCAAGAGAAATCTCTTTTGAGGCCTCTAATGTCTGTTGTTTGTATAGGGACCTGCATTCAATCTTCTTCCCGGTAATCACCCATCAAAGGAGATCTCAAGAACTCCTAATATTCTTCTAATATTACCCTACTCACAAATTAACTTTCAGTTATAAATATGTACCTAGAAGAAGAGCTCTGTGTTGGTGTTAAGCCCTTTAATTTGCTTTATTGCTAAGCAACAAAGGGCAACACTTAAGAAAAAAACATGTCTTTACGGAACTTTGTTCTCATGCAAATGGGAAGCTCCACAACCTTGTCTTTTGGGGTGTGTGTGTGTCTGTCTCTGTGTGTGTGTGTGTGTGGGGGGTGGGGGGGGGGGGGCAACAAGCGTGACAGTACGTCATGGAAGAGAACATTTTGAGTTAGCCCTAAACTTCCTACAAGTAGCAATATACTTAATGCTTTGCTTAGGTTCAAGTATACCAAAATATATTGGTGAACTTTAGGTAAAACTTAATTTCTCCCTTTTTTTTTTTTCTTTCCTTCTTTTGCTTAGTTGACGACAGCACCAAGACAGTGTTGAGGTGGAGGTGGCCCCCTTAACATGTGGTTAGGGAAAATGGAGGCAAACCAAGGTGGAGTGGAGATGGTCCCAATTTCAAATATTTTTTAAGGCTACATGTATAATATATTGCTAGCTTAATTACTTCAACTTAAAAATGAATAACAGAATGAGTGCTTTGACTAAAATCGTATTTAGGGCGAGTGATAAGTTAACAAGTTATGAAAAAGAAAGAAAATTTTATGTTATTTAGGAGAACGGTTGATTACCATCGTCTCATTTGCAAAATGAGCTAGGAAAATTATTTTAGGAGAGAATGTGATCTGCATAATTAACGCATTGGGCTTACGGTGGCACGAACGTAAATCAGAGAGAAGCCGGGGGCGATTAGCGAAAGGAAGCAAGAATCTCGTTCTTGTTACTTGTTTTTCGCTCTTCCTCGGCTACAGAGGGCGGGTCGAGAATCCCGACCCAAAGATCCGGCCCAAGTGGATTACAGCGAAGCTGTTCCCCCCGCACTTTTAGCATTTTCCTTTTCTAAACCATATTTATTAAGTTAATTAATATAAATAATCATGATGATAATAAACTCAAAATTAAATAAAACATGAAAGAAACTTAATTATCGTGATGCTCATCTTGAAAGCCCCTATAATTTAGTTTCTCACGCGAAAAGAAGCAGTTGGATTGTAAAAATATCTTAAAATTCGGATTGAAGAAGGGGAAAAAAAAAATTAGGAATAGCTTTTTTAGTAGGTAAGCACTACAAGAATTTGTTTCTTCGTATATATTTTTTATAATATTGTCAGGTTAAAAGTTCGCTAGAAGATATTTTCAAATGAAACAAGATTGAAAACTAAAGTCGTAACAGACGTAGCTATAATGTTACTCAAAATTTCTTTTTTTATTTTCTTCATGTAAAGAATAATAACTAGTTGTTAAATACGAAGATATCAAGCCTAATTTGCAACTTCTACGCCAATTAATGTCGCTTATTAATGGAGTATGAACGGAATATTCTTACGAAAAAATAAGAGTACTTTTTATATTTATTTTGTATCCAGTCACTCTTTAATACAAAATCACCAAGCGAAGTACTTAAAACGGTTTGCATACAAACCTGTAGCTAGAAAAAAAAAGATTCTGGAACACATGAAAAGATGTTGCGTGTATTATGAGCAACAGCTGTTTTGAGGAAACAGTGCCACAAAGTGAATGAGAGAGGAGCAGCCCGAGAAAGAAAGAGCACCCCCTCTCATGAATTAGTATTTAATTTCTATTTCTTTTCCTGTTTATTTATTATCTTATCTCATTTTTGGTGATATTTTTCTCTCTCCTCTCTCGTGGGCTGAAAAAGAGAGACAGGTAGAGGGAGAAAGTGAGCTGCTATAAGATCTGGCAACAGAGAGAGAGAGGGAGAGAGAGAGAGGGAGAGGAGAGAGAGACTTGTGAGTGAGAGAGAAGATACAGTTGTTCCATTCTCTTGCATCCTTCTCCTCCTCTTGGCTGTGCAAGCTTCGTTCCGTTCCTGCTGAATTTCCTTTGAAAGGAGAGGACTTTGCTGCGATTTGGACCAGAATCAGAGAAATGGTGATCTTCCGCTGCCGAAGCTGAGTTTTTTAAGGGGAAAGGAGAGGCTTTTGAAGGCTTCCTTGATCTGAATTGTAGTTGAAAGTGTTTCTTTCTTGAAATTGTGAAGTGGGTTTGAGAGGGTTGAGTCGAATTTGAGAGAAAGAGGTATGACATTTTTTCCATCTCATCAAGTTTTCCTTCCTCTTTTTTTTCCACGCCCCCCTTTAGGAATATGGTTTCATTTGCTTCCCGTTGCTGAACAATTCTCCCTTTTCCTGTCACAAAGCTTTGTTGCGGTTTTATTTTTAGGAAATTCAACTGCTAAATTTATGACGTGGGTTTGTCGAATTTGTTTTCCAAAATCACAGCTTTTTCACCAGGTTCTCACAAGAAAGGAATCGGCCGACCACAACAAAACAATGAATTTACTTGCTGAAAGGTAAGAGCTTTGTTCATGATCCTCTGTTAATTTTCTTTTGAGCTCTGAATAATTTCAAGTATTCAGTTAACTGGGGCTTTCTTCTAATAAACCACTATAGAATCTCTTTGCAGACACAACATTCTCTGAAACCAACAACCCAGCTGCCCCAATCCGTGCTATTGTTTGGAAAATCAACAAAGGAATCATCATCATCAACGACACCACCGCCAACAGCTATGAAGGACACCGAGAAATGCTTGGATTCTCAACTCTGGCATGCTTGCGCCGGAGGAATGGTTCAGATGCCATCAGTGAACTCCAAAGTTTACTATTTCCCTCAGGGCCATGCTGAGCATGCTCAATCTCCTGTAGATTTTGGCAATTCTATTAGAGTCCCGGCCTTCGTCCCCTCTCGGGTAACCTCAGTCAAGTTCATGGCTGATCCCGAGACCGATGAGGTCTTTGCCAAGATCCGCCTCGTCCCTGTTCCTCAAAATGAGATGGATTTTGGTGAAGATGAAGGACTTGGCATTGGTTGCAATGGATCCGCTGAATTGCAAGAAAAACCCGCATCTTTCGCAAAGACTTTAACTCAATCTGATGCAAACAACGGCGGAGGGTTCTCCGTTCCACGTTATTGTGCTGAGACAATCTTCCCTAGATTGGATTACTCGGCTGATCCCCCCGTCCAAACCGTTCTTGCCAAGGATGTCCATGGAGAGGTCTGGAAGTTTAGGCATATTTACAGAGGTACACCTCGGAGGCACTTGCTTACTACTGGATGGAGCACTTTCGTTAACCAGAAGAAGCTCGTGGCTGGGGATTCGATTGTGTTCCTCAGAACGGAGAGCGGGGACCTGTGTGTGGGTATTCGAAGGGCTAAGAGAGGGATCGGCACTGGTCATGAGCAGCCTTCGGGGTGGAATCCGCCGATGTCTGCGGCTTATGGGGGGTTCTCGGTTTTTCTGAGGGAGGAGGAGAATAAGCTTATGAGGGGTAATGGCAATGGGGGTAATGTGAGGGGAAAGGGTAGGGTGAGGGCTGAGTCAGTGATTGAGGCAGTAAGACTTGCTTCAAGTGGGCAGCCTTTTGAGGTTGTGTACTACCCTAGGGCCAGCACACCGGAGTTCTGTGTGAAGGCAGCAGCGGTGAGAGCGGCGATGAGGGTTCAGTGGTGTCCCGGGATGAGATTCAAGATGGCTTTTGAGACCGAGGACTCATCAAGGATCAGTTGGTTCATGGGCACTATTTCCGCAGTTCAAGCTGCAGATCCTATACGGTGGCCTAATTCTCCTTGGAGGCTTCTTCAGGTATCTGTCCTTATGCCACGGCTGAGGAATATGTATTAGCAGAATGCGCCTTCATTTTCTTTTCTCTATTCGTCTATCTAGAATTGCATACTTGATAGTTTAGGTTGCTTATAGTTTCTTTGTAGACTTGCTGTGCCAATTTTACACTGGACAAACAAAATTATATCATGCATACCTACTCTCTCTGCAAAATTCAGTCTCCGTACTTATCATTTTGTGACCATCTATTGATTTCTGCCAATGTTGAGCGCATATGCATATTCCTTATTCTGGGACCAGTTTCATTGGATTCTCCTTTACTTATTTATACAGCAAAGTTGTGCGGAATATTTAGAGTTGTTGCTTAAAGTTCCACTAGATTCACAGTGTGAACCTTGGTCTCCATACTGTTCACCCCGTGTGATTGAATTCACATTTCCCCCCTTATATCAAATAACTAACTTTTCAAAATCTATAGGGATAACTCTTGATTGCACTAGGTAAATTAGGTAGATAAATGTGAAACATCTAGGCTGTGAATTCTTATTTCAGTATGTTTATCCGAGCATTAGATATGTCAATTACATACTACGCGTGATGCTCTCCACTAGATTTTAATGCATAATGAAACTATAGTATCGATACTACATCAACTGTGTTCTTGTAGTTTCTCTTCCTCATTTAGCATCCATGAAACCTGTCTAATTGAAAACGAAACTATGACAACAATTCATGCATTATTCTATTATTTCCCACATCTATGCTGGTAGCTTATATCAGGCGCTTAATTTTCTCATGAAAATCAAGCGATATTCGTTCAATTTTAATCATTCCTAACAGTCTAATTCTTTTCCTCTAAAAAATATCTTTGCAGGTGTCATGGGACGAGCCTGACCTCCTCCAGAACGTAAAGCGCGTGAGCCCATGGCTAGTAGAACTGGTCTCAAACATGCCCGCAATCCATTTAGCCCCTTTTTCCCCTCCAAGAAAAAAATTACGCATCCCCGACTTCCCTCTAGATACTCACCAAATCCCGACCCCACCCTTTTCAAACAACCCTCATGGGCCCGTAGGCATACAGGGAGCCAGGCATGCTCAATATGGCATATCTCTTTCAGATCTTCACCTCAACCATCTTCATTCCGGGTTTTTTCACAGGGGCATCCACCACCATCATCCACCAACAAAATTTACCACCAGCCTCTTTGTTACTAACCCTTCTGTCGATGAGGACATCTCTTGTTTGTTGACCATTGGAACTCCTTCTACAAAGAAGACTTCTCAGTTGGTGCTCTTTGGGAAGCCGATACTCACTGAGGAGCAGATTTCTCTTAGTGGTTCTGGTAACAGTTCATCAGAAGGAAATAATGAGAATGTGGGAGATAATTCTCCTTGGCTTAGAGATCATCAAGCAGTAGAGTTAGGTTTGGAGTCTGGGCACGTTAAGGTGTTCATGGAGTCAGATGATGTTGGCCGTAATCTTGATCTCTCGGTTTTTGGGTCTTATGAGGAGTTGTATGGGAAGCTCGCAGACATGTTTGGGATTGAGAAGTCGGAGATGATGAGCCATGTTCTTTACCGTGATGCGACTGGTGCTGTTAAACACACTGGAGATGCACCTTTCAGGTGAGTACCGTGGAATAGTATATTTATTGTGAATTATATCTTTTTCATAATGCTGGAGATGATGAGCCATTTATCTTTTTCATGTTGAATTATATCTCTATTATACATAAATAACATATTTATTGTGTCTTATTAACTGGCATTAAGATATATATATACCCTGAAAAATGGTTCTCATAATGCTTTAGACTTGAAACAATTTAAAGCACGTCTGGTTTTGGGTACTTCTGACCTCTGCACTAACATATATAAACAACAACGTTTATCTCAAATTTTCGGGTTCAGCCATATGAATCCCACGCTTCCACTCAATTAAGTTAGTTGAAGGTTATCTTCTCCAGTAAGTTAGTCATTGTCGCATCTTTCTTAATCCTTTGAATTGCGGACAGACCCCCTGTACTTTTACCAAATTGAACTTACTTCATATGTAATTCTATTGTTACAAATAGACCCCCAGAAAAGGGTCAAAAAAATCTCACTCAAGGGGTCTATTTGCAAGAATAGGACTACATGGGTAATAAGTTCAGTTCGGTGACAGTACAGGGGGTCTATTGGCAGTTGATCCTTTGATATATTTTAGCTAGCTGTTAGCTGCTCTACAAAATTTATTCCTTCGCTTAGTACAACTTTATTCATTATGCATAATTTTGTTTTGTTCTCCGACTGATGGGATCTCATTCTGTATTTGTTACAGTGAGTTCATGAAGACGGCAAGGAGGTTGACGATACTAATGGATTCAGGCAGCAATAACATAGGAAATCAGTAGGAAAAGAAAATGAGGTCTATGTCAAATGTACAGTCGAACGAGCTCAGTTATTTTGTTCTCAATGCCAACTTTTTTATCCCGAACCCTTCGTTTTGTTTTTGTTTCTTTCATCAGTTTCTGAATGTTAGGTCTTTATAAGAGAGCTCCTCTGTATGCCAAACTCCTTACAGAGGCTTCTTGAACTTAAATCTTCTCAATTACAAGGTTCAATTTCAGAAAGTAGGCAATATATATGTTACATCTTTCTTTCTTTCTTTATCCATGTTGATTATCGATTTTGTTTTTTGAGGGAAATATTATATATTTGTGCCTTGATTATCAATTTAGATCGTCTTTTAGATGCTTGAAAAAACTCTTCGAGGCGTGTGTTTTTCCCTAACGTAATGAGTATTTAACTATTTAGGCTAATCATTTATTACTAAAACCTTATGTCCGGTTGTTGGAACATAAAATGTGCACAGAAGTGATATATTGTTTACTTCAGAAGAGAAAAGGCTAAATACCCATATTGGTATTTTAATTCAACCCTATTTGCCAAGAAGGTATTTTAAATAAAAAATCGGCGTTAAGGCATTTTAATTGATTAAAATTACCATTTAGGTCCTTTCTCGGTCGCGGCGACCATTTTTCGGGGAGAAACTCGTACGTGCGTGACACGTGATGACTAATGGTGTTTTAGCTGATGATGTGGCTCGGTTTTAGCTGCTGATGTGGCTTAATCACAATTTAAGTCCAAAACGAACCAACCTGAACCCTAAAAATTTCAAAACAAAGATCAAACTTCCACGCATTCACTCCAGATCTCAGATCCAACTCAATTATCTTACCTTTACCGCTAACAGAAGCAGCCAAAACCCCCGATTCCAGGAACTTCTAGAAGAAAACGCCATGGGAATTCGGAGAGAAGAGAGTGAGAAGACGAAGATCACTGCAGACTAGATTGCCGCCGGCGCGGCCATGGATCGATGCAAGAGAAAGAGGTTCTATTTATACGGTAATTTCTCCACTAATTTTTCGCTAATTTTTTTTTACCAATTTTAGAAATGGGGGATTTTAAAATGCATCGACTCTTATTCTTCCTGCCACTGCCACGTCAGAAAACCGGTTGAATTAAAATGCACGTGACGAGTTCTCGCCGGAAAAATGGTCGCCGACGAGAAAAAGGACCTAATTGGTAATTTTAATCAATTAAAATGCCTTAACGCCGATTTTTTTATTTAAAATACCTTCTTGACAAATGGGGTTGAATTAAAATACCAATATGGGTATTTAGCCGAAAAGAAAATCATTAGTTGTTCTTGAACAGGCAAATGCTCTTTTTTAATCCCGAGGTTGAATCGATCAGCTGATTTTGGGTACGTGCATACATCGGATCAAGCAAATCGATCCTAAATTCCGTCATGCAATTCCCTCGTCTGCTCCTGATCGTCATCATCCTAAAAGAACAATAATAACAACGCATCACGATCGATTACTTTCATACATTCGCCTATGAGAATGTCAGGTGTAGATATGGACTAAACGCACAACAATTAATAAAG